TAAAACTCTTGGACGTATTTTAAAGATGCTATGCCGCAAACTTTAAATATTTCACATACTTTTAAAAATCCAGCGTTTAGTTGATCCTGATAAGCGCTCATTATCACAGTTGTAAACATGACTGCTTTCTTCTAACATGAGAGGGTTTGGCGTCACTGCATATTTGTTTCCAGGCGGAACGTTAAATAACGTGACACATACGTCTCCCGGAAATCCTGTATAATTCAACTAATCCGATGATGACTTCGAAACTCCCGAAGGGTTTCCAATTGTGTGTGCCGTATGCATCAGACGTTCAGCCAACGGTCCGTGGGCGTGACGTCTGAGGCTGAGACTAATGGAGGAGAGGCTTCACTACGCTGAATAAACAGCATTTTAGAGGAAACAGCTTATCATTTAATGAATCGACAGCCTATCGGCTAATCTTCATGTTTTACACTAAACAATACTTTTAGATTGAAATATTTATCCAAATAGTTTACACCAAAAAAATTCAGTTTTATAAGAGAAGTCACTGACATTTTGCGACAGGTGGGATTCAGCTTACGGCACTTCTCATTCATTCCTATCGTATCCGTAAACGGCGATTGAGTGTCGCACAACTCTGACTAAAATTCAATGATGTCAAGGTTATAATGTGATTGGTTATTAAGGCACACGTGATCCAAATTGACCGTTATGCTTTCTCCAATAGTAAGTAATACAGACCCTCTCATCTCCCAATAGTAAGACAATCTCTGGTGGCGTATACATCTCTGCGTTACATATCTACAGCAAAAAACAGCCGGTAGCAAAATGACGAGAGAACCGGTGTTCAGCCGTACATGTACACAGAGACAAATATGAGAATGAACCAGGACATCTCTGAATGGTTATTTGATACATTTATGTACATTTAGAGTGTTTACAGCCCATTTGCAACAACGAATGAGCAACACACACACAAATACTTCTATAAAGTTTGCTATGTGTTTTAACGAAATGACACACACACACAAAATACGGTTAAAACATTAGCTAAGCACTATAATGACATGACATTAATGTGAGGGATACTGTCGCATCATATTCAAATATTACTTCTCGTATCGGTGCTCATGTGGCAAATGTGGGAGGATTCCTACAGAACCAGAGAATGTATGCTGCATTTAGTGTTTTTAATTTCTTGTCTTTACAGATAACATACACAATTTTTCAAGACAATCACCTTTTACACTGTTCTTTACAAACGTGTGGTTATACAGTACATAAACAAGATTAAAAGTAGATGACAGACATTTGGTCTCTAAGACAACAATGGCTTTAGCCGCATTTGTTGTGGAACTGGCTAACAGGCACATCGACTGAAATGGCAATTTACTCAAAAATCGTAAAGAATAAACAGTGTGACACTTACTTCTTCTGGGAATGAAGCTGGATCACGAACAGTTGGTTCAGATCCATCCTTGATTAACAACTTTTTAGCAAAGCCTGCCTTGTATTGCCCCTCATTCACAAAGCAGTCTGTAGTGAAATGATTTGCGCAGACATAAACGAAATTTGGTACATTTTGAGGTGCATTACCTTCAAAAATAAAAGTAATCCACTGCGTCTTCAGTGGCTCCAATGTTGGGAGAAAATGAAGACTTTTATGCTCAGTCTGCTGAGTCATTTGTGGAATGGAATGGAAACCATGATAGATTGGGTCGCATGATTACAGAAAGGCCCTTATGTTCTTGACTAGACATCAGACAGAAAGGTGTTCTTGGTACATGTTTTCTAAAAGGAATCTTAAATGACTCTTTGATTTGTATCCCTAATGAGTCATATCGAAGTGAAATGTGTTTGCAGTATCCAAAGCAAAAAGTCTCTATGAGCACACCTCGACAGAACAGCACCTGATCAACGGATGATACCCATTCATCTTAACCATAACAAACAGCTAAGTGCTACTTAGCCAGTGCTATTCTTGCCTGGTCATATGAGTCATAATATGGCCAGCACATGTTGGCAGTTGTGATGTTCTGGGCACATTGCTTTCAGCATGATCAATCCTCATCTTGAAGCAGTGGGAAAGTTTTCAAAGAAAATACTTCCCATAACATTCTTGAGTTCCACATTTACTCAGATGGCAAGGCAAGATTTTATTTGAATGTTCTCAGTAGATTTTGGATGACTTTTGAACAGTAAGACAAAAAAGGATCATTTGCAATAAAAACGTCACTGTCTTCTCTATTACTGAACTTGCTAAACTTGAACTCATCCACAGATTGCAGTATATCCACCGATCAGTCTGCTCAGCCTTAATCCACTGTAATAATAATTTTATGACAAAAAAAAGATTTATTTATTTTTGATAGTACACAGGCATATGACATTTTCGGTAATGCTTTAAATAAAATTTACAGTGTAAGTAAACCGAATTTACACCGTACCTTTTCGTAATTATAGTGTAGGCCTACCTATACAGTACAGTACCTCTGTGTACTAAGCTACATATACTAATAATAAGGGAACAATCGGCAACATTTAGGGAATAAAGAGGTAATAATCTGGAAAATTACAAATTATTCATACTAAAAGTATATTGAAACTAAGGGGTAGCCTACCCTATTGTACTGTAATATTACGTTGTATGTATGACCTATGCTAAACAACAATTTAACGTTTGCAAGCGATTTAGCAGCATACATATAAAACACATATAAAAAACACTGGGTTACTGTTTCAATTCAAACGCTTGGTTGAGACTATTGGGTAAGGAAGCTGGGTTGATTTGACCAAATTTGGGTTGATAATCATAAGAAACCCGACGGTGCTGGGTTAGTAATGTGGACGCGAAAGAGAGCATGCACGTCACGCGACGGTTCTGTGTGTGTGTGTCGAAAACAGTGTTTGCGGGAATATGTGTGGAAAATAGAAGAAAACTAACTGAAGCGCAGAGTAGAGACAACTTTCTGGAGTGTCAAAAGAAAAGAAGAAAAAACTTTCAAAAGAAGAAGTAGAGGCTTTGAACTGGCTTTCCAATAACGAAGATCTTGTAATAAAAAGAGCGGATAAGGGAGGCGCAGTTGTTGTATGGGGCAGAGATCAGTACATCAAAGAAACCTTTAGACAGCTACAAAATTGTGAGTACTATTAGCGCCTGAAATTTAATCCAATAGAAAGTATTAAAAATGAATTGACTGACATTTTATTACATGCTGAAAATGAGGGATGGATTTTAAAAAATGAACGTGATTTTCTATTTTGTAAAGATCCTAGGATTTCTACTCTTTATATGCTTCCAAAAGTACACCAAAATCTTGAAAATCCACCAGGGAGACCTATAATTAGTGGTAATGGGTCTATTACAGAGCCGGCTTCAAAATGTGTGGATTATTTTATTAAACCATTGGTTAGTGAACTCCCCTCGTTCATTCAAGATACAACTCATGTATTGAATATCGTTAAAGAAATGAAAACTACAGAATCATCTATACTGGTGACTATGGATGTTGAATCATTGTATACGAATATAGATCATAAAGATGGGCTGGAAGCATTATCATACTATTTAGATATGAGATCATCTACTGAAAGGCCACCGGCATGTTTTATTATGCAATTAGCAGAATGGACATTAAATAACAACTTCTTTCTGTTTCAAGGTGAATTCTATAAACAAATTAAAGGTACAGCAATGGGTGCCTGTTTTGCCCCAAATTATGCAAATTTGTTTTTAGGATTTTGGGAAAATAAATTTTTATTTTCTGATTCAAATCCACATTTAAAGAATGTGATGTGGTGGGGTAGATATATAGATGATATCATTTTGATATGGATAGGTTCAGAAGCAGATCTGTTAGTCTTTCATTCATACTTAAATAATACCAATGTGAATTTGAAGTTGAGTCTTGATTTTTCACATACTCAGATAAATTTCTTGGACTTAAATTTTTTTAAAGAAGGCAGTGGTGTATTACATACTACTATTTTTAGGAAGGAAACAGATAGAAATACTATTTTAAGAGCAGATAGTTTTCACCCTTCATGGTGACAATATTCCCTTAGGACAGTTTCAGAGGTTAAAAAGAATCTGTGACAAGGAAGAGTAATAAGAATTCAGATCTGGAAGTATTATATTGGTGATCTTGTGTGTTTTTTTTTTATATAAAGAAATTTATACTATGTACATACAGTCTGATTTATATATTTAAAAAAAAATTTCTCTCCTTTATACATGATTATATTGTGTTTGATTTAATTTGATATGTAATCGTCGAACTTCCTCTCTATTGTTTGTCCTGTGTAGAACGACCAGGTGATTGTTATTTGACTAATTAACAGCTGCTTAAAATGAACTCAGATTGTGTTTGTTATTCACACCCTGACGAAGGCAAAATAGCCGCAACGCGTAGGTGTGTACTTGTCACCTGTTCTTAAAACTTATAGCCATGATGAAATAAAGGCTTTTTAATTTTTTTTGAATAAGATTCGAGTGCCTTGGACTACTATTATTCTTACGAGTTGAATCAACCCCTGCACCCAAAGAGCACCGAGACTAGAAACCCAATACCCCGTGCAGCACTTCTTTTGCATTCTTTATTTCGAGGAACTTTCTGGAGTGTGTTCGTTTAAAACTGGACCTGTGAATGTGGTGAGCAGGAACTGGAAACAGCTGGAATGGCGCGTGAGACAAGTTTATCCGTGTTTGTGGCGCTCTTGACAAGAATATGTGTGGAAAATAGAAGAAAACCAATCGAAGCGAATAGGAGAGACATTTTTGAAACTGACTGGAGTCTGTTCTTTTAAAACTGGAGGGTTTTGTCGGAGTGTTTGAGCCTTGAGCAGTGACTGATGAGCAGTAAAGCCTTGAAATGAACACGTCGAAATGGTGCTTGAGAGGATCAAAAAGGTCAAATCAAAGATGGTATAATCCTGTCGATTTATTCTTGACTTTCAGTTTTCATTACAGGCTTTCAGTATGTGTGTTTCTTGGCGTGATGGTTTGGCCGTAGTGTACGTAGTTTATTCGTCAGTGGGTGAAAAACATGAACAAAATAAACAAAATCTCAAATTTGTTCTTAGACATAAGTTATTCAATATTAAACTTTTCAAAATCATGTTGTTTTAACTGTATAAGTGTGGAATTGCTTTGCTTTTTTCTGAGCTTTTCATGTAGGCCTACGGTTTTTTGTTTTCATTTTTGTCAGTTTCTGGTGTAGGCTAATAATTGGGCTGGACAATAATTCAATATCAATATATATCGTAATATAATTTTTTTCAATAACGGTGATAGGATTTTTAAACACATTTCCGATATTTCAATATACATTAGGTTTCCCATAGTTGATTTATTTGTGGCTGTTTTTGGCAATATTTCCGCATTTTGGGTTCATTTAAACCCAGCAGTATCATTTAAATTTTCAAACAAAATTTTAATTAAAGGGGTCATATGATGTTGCTAAAAAGAACATTTATTTTGTGTATTTGGTGCAATGAAATGCGTTTATGCGGTTTAAGGTTAAAAAAACACATTATTTTCCACAGCAGATATTGTATTGCATTACCACATTTTCTTTTATTACACCATTTTTTTATTTTATTAAGCCATTGGATCCTCTGCAGTGAATGGGTGCCATCAATGAGAGTTCAAACAGCTGACAAAACATCACAATCATCCACAAGTAATCCAAGTAATTTAACCTTCTTGAGCTCTTCAGCTATTTTTGGCAGAAAAATGTAACGTTTTTTTGTTGTTTTTTTTTATAGAAATTTTTACTTCATCGGAATGGTATGAAAATTGGTAAAGGTTTTGGCACTTGTGATGTGAAAAAAACCCCCCCATCATGGACATGATTTGAAAAGGTTAAATGGTCCTGAAAAAAACAGTCACACTTGTACTCCTCGTGGTCAAAAATGACTGCAATGCATTGAAAATTAATGGGAAACAAATTTCATCTAGTGGAAATGTGTGATACACAACTTTAGATTCATGGTTTTGATTAAGTTTTAGAATAAAACATGTTTTGGAAAATATACATTTCATATAAAATTTTTCATAAACTTAAACCTCTCTCTCTATATTATCTACATCCTTAGCATTACTAAGCAGTTCCCTTGGATTCCCGCACTTCAGCATTAGATGATGGCCATGTTCTTTTTGGGAGGAGATTAACATTTCTGCAAATGCTGCAGACCCCCAGTGAGTGGCCCACCCGATGGCAGACAATGTATGAGCTGTGGAGGGATTAGGGTATCTGCATCGCACCCTGTTTATACCACCCTGCCTTTCAGACTAAGTGTGCAGAAATGGCGAATCAGTCAAGATGGAATGTTGCCCAGCCATAAGAGAGCTGTAGGATCAGGTCAAACTCCTGGTGCCAGGCTGTATCACGTTCAGCAGCCTCAAAGGCCATTTTGGTTTGATTTCAGAGCCGATTTGATTTGACTTTCAGACAGCACGTCTCTCATATACACTTCTCACTGTTGCCATTATTGGTTTCTTGGTTTGAAAGGAGAGGAGGGTGGATGGGCTTTTATTTCCTTTATACATTTAAATGATAGTATTGTAATGCAGTAAGAAAGTCGATAAACCCAAAGTATACATATAAACCAGATTTCTTGGTAAATGTAAACGCATAAATGTATGAAAACTGAGTTCAGGAATTCCTAAGTTTATTGCCATTTTTTTTTAATCATCATAGTGGTTTGTTTGCTCGGATGTATTGCAATGATGAAACGATGTCATATGGAGATGACGAGAAAAAGAAAACCAAACAAATGAATGCCTGCTATAATATAAATGAGTCCGTCTTTCATCAGTAACACATGTACAAAGAGTATGTGTCAATGACTACCATATGAAGAAAACCATAAAGGCACAACTTCAGAAAGCACATTGTCGATGCACTTAGGAGCCCAAAGAAGTGTCACTTCACAATTTGTGCAAGTTCTGCAGTGAAACATAATAGATTGATGAGAAGAGTTTTACAAGAACAAAAGAAGAGTTTAGAGGTGAAGACAGAAGGCAATCACGCACAGCACAAAATATCCTTGTGAAAAGGCAGAAAGGATGGTACTATTTTGACATTAATGACAGCAAATAGAGTATTTATCAGTTCACCCAAAAATGAGAATCTTTTCCAAGGCAGTAACCATGTATGTTATGTTAAAAAAGGCACAGTTAAACTAGTCAATATAACATTATCAATATAACAAGTATTAAAACACACACACACATTATATACAAGTATAAAATACAGTAAAGACTACTACGTTATTGTCACAATTCGCTGGATCCACGGGCACGAGGAAACTGCTCAGAACAAGAGTCTTTTAATGATTCAACTAGGAGACACCGAGTACAAGGATGACGTTCACAACAAGTAGATCCGACAAACTTAACTGAACAGACTGGGGCTTATAAACATAGGATAACGAGGGACAAAGTAGACACAGCTGGAATCAAATGAACATAATTAACACGAGGAGAAACTGGGTCATGGGGAGCAAAACACACAGTCCAGAACCCTGATAATTATAGGGTTATAGGGAATTATATGTATTTCAAATAAATGCTGTTTTGAACTTTTTCATCAAAAAAAAAATTCCACAAAAATATTAAGCAGCATAATGGTTTCATTAATAAAAATGAATACAATTTCATTAATAAAAATGAAATAAAAATGTTAGACCAAATCAGCATATTAGATTGATTTCTGAATGAAGCTGAAAATTCTACTTTGTTACCACAAACTATTCTAAATGACATTTTATACAATATTAAAATCGAAAAGTTATTTTATAGTGATTTCATATTATTGCTGTTGTTACTTTTTTAAAAATAAAATTAAATAAGTGCAGCCCTTGTGAGCATACAGTAAGAGACTATATTATATTGATATTTTTGATTTAAAATGTGAATTCCTTTCAACCTCAAGAGAAGCACAGGAAATCACATAGAACAGAATAAGATTTTGGTAAATGTGTTAATGTGATTTAGAATTTAAAACTGAATTTAATTAAATTAATCTCACTGATGAAATAAAATCAACCTAATTCCATGAATTCAATGTTCTATAAACCATTGAGGGGTTTATAAACATTTGTAAGTTGTTCATATGTAAAATGGACTACATGTGGTTATTTTCTGGTGTTATTTGAAATCAGTTACCTAATGTGAATGAAAATATGAAAACAATCTATATGCGCAATTCTGAGAAGCAGCGTAGATTTACATATCTCATGTATGATTCGGAGTACAGAGTCACATGTTCATGACAGACTGATGGTCTGTCTCTCTAGAGTCTAGACGGACATTGTTACAACATTTCACATGATTCTTTCTCTCCCTGGACAAACCAGAAATGTTTAATCCATTAACCAGTGACAACACGGCATTGTAATTTATTTTATTTCTTGCTCCAGTCTATTATTCATTTCCCTGTTTAGCCAAAGGATTATGATGATGTTTTTTGTTTTCCATTTTTTAAGCCATGATGGATTTGAAGAACATCCATATGTTTTATTTTGACATTCACATCCTGCTGCTCGAAATGGTTAGATGCTGGAGTCATAAACCTATCATTAAACATCATTAATCCCCAGGTCCCTTGTTAAACTGGCCATTATAACACTCTACCCTGGAGGTATTAACAACAACCTTAACTACCATTGGCTGATAGACTTTAGCAAAAATTATTACCTTAATAAAGTCTATTTTATAATATTTGCATGCACAAGCATCTTCTATTTGACACTGCAAAGGCTGTCTGGCTCATTTTAAGTGCTCCCGTGGGGAAGTTTCTTGGCAGGCTAAGTGATATGTGGCACTCCCATTTGGAGAGGGACCGCAGTGATGCCGTTTGAGTAAATATGGACTTTTAATGTTCCAAGTCGTCTTATTGCATTTTAGGTTAAGGTCCATGTCATTGCCTTCTCTATCATTGCCTTCTCCACCACACTCTCTCTTCTTTTTTAGCTGGAATTATGAAAATAATACTGCAACGCCTCATCATGCTGCAGACCTCCGGAGACTAAATACAGCTGGAGGGGTCACCAAATTTAAGAAGCGTGTTGTGAATTTAATTAACGATCACAGCAATGCTAGTAAAATTCAATGTCCAAGAACACTGTTTATGGGTATTTAACTTTAACATTTATAGTAATGATGGTGGGAGCTGGGAATGCTTTTTGATTTGGTATGGAAAGTGTGAAGAATCCTGCTGATACTTGCACCACAGGTTAACAACACAATTTCAGTTCACACACAAAAAATTAATAAATCAAAATAAATAAAAATTGTAAAAAAAAGGTTTTGTTGAGGTTTAAAGGTGGGGTATGTATTTTTTCAAAAACGCTTTAGAAAACTAAGTCGGGCCGAGTACCAAAACAAACTTGTAGCCAATCAACAGTAAGGGGCGTGTCTACTCATGATGGGGACGAGAGAGAGAGAGAGAGAGAGAGAGCGCTCAGTGCACAGGATGTACATTAGCCATTGCCTGGATTGCATACGTATGTGTGGGGCGGAGCTATCAAAATAGGGGTGAGACCCTTTTGGGGTAGGGGCGTGTTTGTTTTGGTGATTTGAAATATCAACATTGGCTACCAGAAATCACTTACCCCACCTTTAAAGTGAATAACATTTATGAAGACAATAATATAACACTAATGATAAAATAAATTAAAGGGATAGTCCACCCAAAAACGAAGATGTTTAATCATTTACCATTGTATGACTTTGTTCTGAATTGATGTGTTTAACCAAACAACTCTTTGGTTACCCACATTGTTCAAAATAACTTAAAGAAAGAAATACATACAGGAATGACATGAGGGTGAATGATGAAATTTTTTTCATCTTTGGTTGGACTATCCCTTTAAGTATATGTACAGTGTACACTCTATTTGAACACTTAAGCCACTGTTGAAAATAAAAAGAAAAAATTGCAACTAAAATACATCTGAAGAAATTGGCAAATGCAAAATAAGATCAGATAATAAAACTTCCATCTTAAAGATCATGGCTCTGCACAAGACAACTGCACAGTCAATACTAAATCATTCCATGTGAGAATGACAAATTGTACAAGACACATGATAGTTGCTTTGACCATTATAAAGATTTGCTTTCTGTTCCCTACTAAGAAGGAGGAGTGTCTGAAGGAATAGCAGACACTTGGCCATAAACTTCACAAGTCCTTCCCACATGAAAACCAAAGGTCATAAATCTCATCTCAGTAAATGCTGTAAGTGCCTTTTTAAATCGCTTGTCAAAATATGAAAAGATTTAACGGACATCCAGACATCCAGGAATGGTACACGATAGTTAGGGGACAACGGGGCTGGTCACAGTTTTAAGTCTAGTGAATATTTCTTTGTGAAAGTCAGTTTCTCAACACTCACACACTGATAACGTACTGGCTACAAAGAAATGTACAGAACATTTACATGAATAGTGCCTATACCTACACTCTTAAAAATCAAGGTTCCGGAAGGGAGTTTTCACAGCAGTGCCATAGAACCATTTTGGTATTCCAAAATAACTTTTTTCTTAATATGAGGAAGAGTTTAATAATCTGAATAACCCTTTTGAAAAGGTTTCATGGATGTAAAAGATTCTTTATGGAGCCATAGACACCAATAAAGAACCTTTTTTTTTATTGTTGGTAAAAAATGTAGATTATTACACATTGTGACCAACACGGGGCATGTTGTCATACTATATGGAGTGAGTTATCACATTTTTCAGCAAAATGTTAACAGTAAAACAATTATGAAAAACAGGTCAATTTAGGAAATGGTGACAAAAAATAGTAAACTGTTGTTTTGGTCAACATATACTACATCAATTTATAACAATTAAAATATTTATCCTGACCTTACATTTGTATAAAAGACCTATGTCCTATGAACACATTTAAACTTTTAGGTTAAAATCTACTTTCGTTATGTGACTCTAGTATAGTTTTGCAGTTTAACTTTACTTTTATGTTACTTTTTTAAGTTACTGAGATACATATCTTGTGACATCTTTCCCATGTGACAGCTAGCCCCAGCCTCTCCTATGTGGAATTGAATCTGATATAAAGTAGCTCTCAGACAGGATTTATTCCCTTGAATGAACCCCCCCCCCACTCCAGAAAACCCTTTCCCACCATTTATTTAGTGCTAATGCTTTCTTTAATGTCTTGCATCCACTGTGAATTCTTCACCCTTCTTGAAGACACTTATTATACTCGTCTATATAAGCGAGACCACCACTGCTTTCCTTTCGCCTCTGTGTTCATGGGGAGTGCTGGATTAAAATCCTGGGGGGTGGATTATGGCAATAACCGTTTATTAATTTCTACAGGCTCAAAGGTACAGTATGATCTGTGAGAAAAAGAGCAGGACTAAAGAACTCCTTCATCTCCTGGTGTCTGCAAGAGCCATTGCCGTGTGTTACTTTACAAAGCACCTGTGAAAAGAAACAGATGCTGTGTATCTGATACTTTTAAAAACAGTTTAAATCATCGCTAACACTGAGTACAATTTTAAGATGATCATTGGTACCTATACTCAAAGCTTTTCAAGATCCCCTGAGAACAAAGGCTTAAAGATAAAAATTAATAAGCAATTCAGAGCAGAAGAATTACAACTGTTTCAGAAACTAGATTAATCAAGCAGCGATTTTGCCCATATCTGGACAAAATGTTTACATAAAAAACAAGGACTGCTATATATTGAACATGGAATTTTTTACAGTAAGACAACCTATTGCCAATGATAGCATATGTTTTACAGGTAATATCATAAAACACATATACTTAAGGTCGAAAAGATATCAAACTGTTGGACGGCTGTATAGTATATTCAGAGGTCTGCAACTACACTGCAAACATATTTCATCAGAAACAAAGCTGTAGTCCATATCAAAGCTTTTCAAAACCCCTAACCCCATTTATTAATGATATTAATGATACCTCAAATAATTTGAGGTGTTCAGTGTACTTTTCCAAGCAACTGGACTTGGCCTGATGGATGATAAAATGAGCAAAAAAATCCCCCTAGACGACCACTCAAATAACCGCCTAGCCATTGATGTGTCACAATCCCCAGTTACCAGTCCATTCATTATCCTCCACAGTCCCCAGTCACCAGTCCATTCATTATCCTCAGTCACCAGCCCAGTCCACTGGGAACTACATTTCCCAGCATCCCTTCTGGTCAACACCTGCACTCAGTCAGCCATCACACCAGACATAGATGATCTCATCAAGCAAGAGCAGTTACTCTCCACTTTTTCCTTGTCTGGTCTCGTCTCTCCACGTATGAGGACTTACCTGGCTACTTCCTTGGATACTTACCTGTCTTCAGTCAGTCTTCAGTTCCAGTCTTCACTAAGCCTTCATCGCACACCTGCAACAAATAAAGAACTGTTTATGCTCAAAACTAAGTGCTATCTATCTTAATTGAATTATAAACTCATCTGTTTACCATGTTGCTTCTCTGAAATACCTGTGAATAAAGACTTTGTTG